TCTGTGGCGGGGACTGGGAACGAGAACGCCAGCTTTAAGGCTGGGAGGGGGTGGGTAGTGGAGATTCCAGATCCGAGGTAGGGGTGGGGGGGAAGCTACGAGCCTCAGCCCGGGAAGAAGAGGCTCCAGGGCTGCAGCTTCTAGGCGGTGGCTGGATGCAGACAATGCTTCTGAGGCCGGGGTAGAACTGGGTCCAAGGCACGTTGGAGTCTGCCGATTTGGCTGGGAGGCTGGGGCTGGGTGGGAGGCTCCAGGTTTGAGCCTGAGGGATGGAGGCTGAGGCCCCATAACCCAAGTCCAGGCTGAGAGCCCCCGGCTCCGCCCTGTGCAGTTTGCAGTGGTGCAGATCGACACTGCCCGGGAGCTGGAGGACGCCGACTTCCTCCTGGAGAGCTACCTGAACCTGGCCCGCAGCAACGAGAAGCTGTGCGAGTTCCACAAGACCATCTCCTACTGCAAGACCTGCCTCGGCCTGCCTGGCACCAGGGCAGGTGCCCAGCTCGGAGGCCAGGTCAGCCTGAGCATGGGCAATGCCTTCCTGGGCCTCAGCCTCTTCCAGAAGGCCCTGGAGAGCTTCGAGAAGGCCCTGCGCTACGCCCACAACAATGATGACGCCATGCTCGAGTGCCGCGTCTGCTGCAGCCTGGGCAGCTTCTACGCTCAGGTCAAGGTGGGCCTGGGCCCAGGGCGGGCATGGAAGGTGCAGAGGGCTTGAAGCTTCCCAGGAGCCTTTCAGGAGCCACACTGCAGTGGCGGAACCTCGTCCAGCCCTGCTCATAGGTAGAGACGAGGTGTAGGAGAAAAGACTCAGCCAGGGAGGGCAGATCCAGGATTCAAACCTTGATCTGTCTGACTCTCTGGGGGAATGGGAGGCCCTTGGGTGAGGACATGCCATTCGTGTTTGTGGCCTGGTCTTGGGCAAGTCACCTCTCCTCCCTGAATCTTGGGAGGTAGATGCGGAAGATGAGGGCGAGCAGCACTGTCCTTCCAGCAGGGTTTTAAAGATTAACTCACCAGATACTCATTGAGCATCTCCTGTATCCCAGCCACTGGCCTAGGGAAGCAGTAGCCGCTCCCTGTCCACAGAAAGCTTGCATTCTACTTGGGGGTGGGTGTCACAGTTTCAGAGAGGTGGTTGGAGTGGCTTTTGGAGGTGATATTAGGTGACTTGAAGGAGAAGGGGTGGGGAGCTGTGAAGAAATCTGGCCAAGGGACATTGTAGGCAAAGTCGTGCCTGGGGGATCATACCTGGCATGTTTCAGGAAGGACAGAGGCCAAGCGGCTGCCCAAGTGTATGAGGAAGAGGAGAGGGGAAGGGAGGGCACAGTGTGCACCAACCGCTATGGGGCAGTGACCGCACGGCTTTGTCCTGGGTATGTGTCCCCTTTCCAGCTACACCTGGCTCATGGGGATTTTTTTTTTTTTTTTTGGGGGGGGTTTTTGCTATAGGGCATGTGTGTTTGCCAGAAAGAGAGAGAGAGACAGAGAGACAGAAAGAGAGAAATCACCCCCCCAGCGGAAATGGCCACGCCACATTCCCTTCTCCTCCATTCTCCTCTCGGGATCTTGGACACACACGCGCATGCGTCCAGCATGAGTTTAAGCCACCGGGTCCAGGACTCGAACCACAGTTGACTACATGGGAATCAAGCGACATAGCCATTACTCTAACTGCTGGTCCCTGCTGCCTTTATTTCAAACTTCATTTTTCTCTTAGATGGAAGATCTGGTTTCTAACAATGTATTAAGTATTTACTTTGTTCTGCAAAATACATAAAATAATTTCAAAAGACAATACCAGTATTACTCTGAATAGAAAAAAGGAAAGACTGGCAAGTAGGGAGTGTGCTGGTTAACGTACTGGGTTCCCATAACGCTGATCACAGTCCAACTCCAAGTGGCTTGAAAAATCACACCAGGCATGACTGTGTGTGTGCCCAAAATCCTGAGACGAAGGGATTGCAGCGTGGCCATCTCCCTTGGGGGGGGGGGCATTTCACTCTTTCTCTCTGGTGAGTGCACACACCCTATGGCAAAAACCTAAAAGAAAAAAAAGTGGGGATCAGCAGTTAGCGTAATGGCTATGTCGCTGGACTCCCACGTAGTTGACCATGGTTTGAGTCCCGGACCCGGTGGCTTAAACTCACGCTGGGCATGTGTGCGTGCATGCCCAAGATCCTAAGAGGAGAATGGAGGAGAAGGGATTGCGGCGTGGC